ACTCACAACCTTTTCCCAGCCCTCTCCAGTTGTGGTCCCACCCCATCCTCATTCCACTGAAACTGTTCTTCACAAAGTCACCAATGGATTCCACTTTGCCAAACCCAAAGGCGACTTTTCTGGCCTTATTAACCTCATGAAACATCTCTCACACACACACACACACACACACACACACACACACACACACACACACACACGCACACACCCTTCACGCTGCCTGTCCTCTCTCTACAAGCTCCTTAGGCCATCTCATCAGGTCTCCTAGATTTAAATACGCTCTCCATGCTGATGGCTCCCACATTTTTTAACTTGTCCTAGATGAGACACTCTATCGGACTATCTTTCTCATATAACAGGCATCTCAAACTGAAATATTTTGATTCTGCTCCCATGCCTCCCAATGTTCCCCCATCTCAGCAAATAGGGCCACCATGTACCCAGTTGCTCAAGCCAGAAAACTTGGAGTTATTCTAGATCCTTCTCCCCACCCCACCCCCACCCCACCAAACCCCACAGCAGGCCCACCCATTCTGCCTCTAAATGTACATCTCACACCCACCAGTTCCTCTCCACACCCCCTTGCTTCACCCACCCCACCTGCCTCTTCACTGTGCTCCCCAGGTCCACGCCTTTCTCTGTTGTCTCTCCACAAATGCAGTCCCCGTAGAACATGAGTGAAGGGCTTCCCACGCCAAACGTTCAATGCCTTCTCACTACCCTTTAAATGAAATCCAAACTTTTTCAAGGTCTAAGGAGTCCTGCACAGTCACCTCATGCTGCCCTCTCTCCCTGGCCCTTGTCTTCCTGCGCCTCTTCGAGTCCCCCAAAGCCAAAGTCCTCTGCACAGGCTCTCCTCTGCCTGGCGTGCTCTGTCTTCCGCCACCCCCCATCCTCAGAGAAACCTTTCCAGTCTTCTCTAAAGAAGTCCATCCAAGTCACTGCTCCCATGGTTTCATCAGAGCATTTATAACAACTGGAAATATTTATTTCTTTACCCGTCTGCCTCTGGACTGTAAGCTGAGGTTGGAGTTAAGGACATGGGTAGAGGGAGAGAACTACATCTCTTTTAACTATCAACATATTCCTGGAGCTTTAACACAGCGCCCGGCAAATAGTAAGTGCTCAGTAAGTAGCACTTCTTTCATGCACGCAAGAAACCAGGGCCACCTACGATAAAAAGAACTGTTACCTTGTTCTACCAGCCCACAGTTAACACTGCCATTGAGGCACACAGGCTCTTTGTCCCCTTCCTCCTCCATCAAAAGAATTTATTTTTATGCTGCTAAACCAACACCCCAATCGGTCAACAGATACCCGCCCAAGGCCCAGCTTACTGTCTTCCATGAGGAACAACCAAGGGTCATTTGTTTCTTGAATTAACTCTAAACCACTACAGGCAGTTACTCTGAGAACTTAAAATTCTTAGAAAATATCACAGAGGCTTTTTGTTGCGTGTTCTCTTTAACCCAAAAGAAAAGATTTATTAAGAGAGCCCTGGGGTCAAGCTCATGTTACTAAGACTATACTCTTCCTTAAGAATGCCGCAACACCCTTGTCTAAAAGCATCCAGTAACTGGAGTCCAGCTGTTCCTGTCTTCCTCTCCCCACAAAATAGATCAACTGTTTTAGTTTTTCCTTTATTTCGTTGGTTCCCCTCCAACATGCAAACTCAGAAATATTAATCCATGAGATCCCAGAGGATTCGGATCCTCCTCAGCCACACAGTTTTATGAGGTCAGAAATAAAAGGAGCTGAATTCAACTGCTTTTAGCAGGACCATGAGCACCCACTTATACTACTGGGGGGCTGAGTCACTTGCCTAGATCTTTACTTTTTATGTCAATGTCCAAAGTCGATAAAAACATCAAAAGTTTTTCCCGAAAGTACTCCTGGTGACACACACAGTATCCTAGAATTGACTAATATAATGTCATTATCATGAACCTTATCACAAATATTCAGCCAAATTCCAATTACCCCCATGTGAATTCTCCACAGAAAGTGAGCAAAGCCACACTGGGCTTTCTGGTCTTCCACTCTTCCTCAAAGCTACCTCCTCCTGCTGCCTGGGAATAACAGCTCAATTAACCTTAGACTTGACCAAGCATTAGACAAGTAAACCAGCTGGCTGGAGAGAAAACGTCTAAGATGAACTGAAATTATTTTTGGTGCCTGGGATAACATGCTTCACTCTCTATTAGCACATTTAATTGGGAATTGTTTTGTCCAAGACAGTGGCAGCCTTTTATTCATAAGTATTTCCTTGCATTTGACGGTCAAGATCACCAGATCACTTGAGAGTCCTTTCTGGAATACCAATCCACTTTCTCCATGAGAAGACAAAAACAGAAGTTAATCAACTCACCCAAGTCCATGAAGCAATTTGGCCGTTGGCCCAGGAAGAGACCGTCAAGACCTCTGGAGACCTTGCTCACAAGACACAGAATTTCAGAGCCGGAAGGGAACTCACGGATCAAATTATGTGTTTTTAAGACAAAAAACTCAAAGCCAAGAAATGCCTAGAAATTGGTACCTTCCCCACTTTTCTTTCCAGTGATATTTCCCCCTGCCTTGAGCATCAAACCACCTTCAAGATTCTTTGTCACTTTACAAATACTGAAACTCAAGCCAACTACTGAATGCAAGACAGTTTTAATACTTCCTGACTAAACAACTTTATGGAGAATCTTTACATTTTCCAAAAAAGTGAGTGCTTCTGGTTAGTATGACCAACTCACCCATTAAAAGAGGAGAAAAGGGAAAAATTATAAATAAGCTTTGTTTTTTATGGTCACACATCTTATTATATAAGCAGCAAAGAACACTACAGTCTCCTAACTCAACAAAAACCACAGGCCCAAATGGGTTAAAGGAGGCAAAACTGAGTACTTTCCACACAGTTCATAGAACAACTGTTTTCACAGCAAGCTCACATAAATGCTATGTGATATTAACACATGCCTGCTATGTGAAAGCTTGCTTACCAAGCTGTAAAAAGACCCATGTTTACTATGGAACCTGCAAAATTAATCTTCTCAGTGCTTATAAAGCAGAAGGGAAACACTCTTTTGGGGATGTCAAGCTGGCTTCTAAACAATTCTTTGGCGAAAATGGACATGCCTAGAAGGGCGGGGCCCAAAGAGGTGTGTCACTCTGGGTATCAATTCCTATAAATCAAATCCTGACAATCACCACAATATTTTAAAACGAATGAATTATGATTCATGGGCCTTCAAATCTTTATTACCATAAGAACATTCTCGGTAGAAGAGAAAAAAAAATCCCACTGTGAGTTGATTAATGGTCAAAGCAAGACAATAAAATAAATCTCATAAATATAAGGAAAAAAACCTGAATGACTGCTCTTGGCTCTGAGGTTAGGCATGTAAATAATTCCACCCTGGAATGAACATACATAAAGATTTTGTTTACCCTCCCAGCAAATACAACAACCAGACTCAGATTTTCATCGGGTAAAAATAAGAGCTAATTTGTTTAACTAATGCCTAGTTAGGAACCCTTGACAAGTGGCGATAATATTTAATTCCCAACTAATTCAACTCTCACACTGCCAAATATCAAACCCTCAATCTGGAAATCTGATGTCAGGAAGGAAAGAAAAAAAGCACTGTCCATCAGTAATGTGTAGAGAGTTTTTTTTTTTTTTAAAGTCCATTTTCCCCCAGTCCCCACAACAGAGCCTGCCTAGAGAATTGTGGAAAGCTTAACCAACCTTAGTTAACCCCATGGCCTATGGGTCACTCCCTAACTCTACTAAACATTTGTGGGTTGGACCCCCTGGTGCTAAAATTGGTTTAAAGTTAAACTCCCAGCACAATTAAGGTACCTGACAGCCAAGACCTACAACTCTTCTGCAGAAATCAGTAGGCTCAGGACCAAGAAAACAGAGGCAAGGCAAGGCAAAGACCAGTTAACTAGTCAGGCGCTGAGTTCTCCGGCTTGCTATCCTGCCAGTGGGCACCAAAACCACATTTTCTATCGCCAAACTCCTGTCTTGAAAGGGTAAATGATGCAGACGACAGGTACTAACTGGGAAAACCTAAAACTCTTTTCTTAAAGCTCTTCTCCATGGCCTGCTGAAAAGCGCACCCAGACTGGCTTTCGGAAGGCATTTTTTAATGAACTCTTCAGCCACTCCTGGACGGGTCATTCGTGAGCATGACTTCCAAGCACTTTACAAGACAGCCCAGGCCACACTGGGAGCAACCCACTTCAACACGGTCACTTGCCAAAGCTGCGTCTAGTCTGGGGAAGAGTTTCCACAAAGCGGGCTCTAACAGGCCGGTTGGAAGGCACACAGAGGAACCAGAAGGCGTTTTCTTTTCACCTAAGGATGGCAGGCGCACATGTTCCAGCCCAATGCTGGCCAGAGGCTGCCTGCCAGGTGCTCTCCTCGGCCTCCGCCGGTGAATAGGTGGTTTGGTTTTGCTTTTAATATCCATTTCGCCAGACCACCAGCAGTAACTTCCAGTCTCCCAAACTGAAGTTGAGGAGTGAAGGGGCAGGTTTACCTCCTAACACATTTCTCCCATCTGGGTGGCCACACTAACTTCTGGGGCGTACCCAGCCCCCACAGAGCCCGCCGGCGCATCGATATACACATATGCATCATGTCAAAAACCCCAAAAGGCACATCCCCAGAGTCCTGCGGTTTCTTGGCTGAAGAAGGAGGGCATTATAACATCGCAGCCTTTAACTGCAAACCCACCATCACCGCTACCCTTTAAGCCAGGATCGCCAATTATAGCGCCCACCTCACCCCTCCCCCTTTGCCGGGATGCTGTGCAGCCCAGAGAGGGGAGAGGGAAGAAGGGAAGCGGGGAGAAGGCCCGCTCACACACTGAAAGTAAAAGGGGGGAGACTTTTCCTTCTCTGTCCCCCCATTCTTCCCTCGCACCACACCCCACCCTCATCTTCTCACGGAGCATCCCCCAACTAATTTTTAAAAAATGAAACTTAACAAGCTTCTTGCCTACCTTGGCTGTTTCTGCAACAAGTGCATGGGCAATCCAACAAGACCCGTCTCCGCTTGGGGGGTGAGATGGGGGGCGAGCAGAGCTGAGGGAGTAATTTCAATATTAATTTATGTCAGCCGCCTTCTCACAGCGCTACTCACTTACAGTACTGCCCTCAGCCTGTAAACAAATATCGCTCCGCCAGGAAACATACTCCCCAGATGCAAGCCCCTCTCCCCAGCAGGGAACCTGGCCCCTCGCCCCCACCGCAAACAGTGTGCTCCCCGACCCTGGGTGGGAAGCTCCGGGTTTCCAAAGCACCCACCCACCACCTCCGCCACCACCCCAGCAAGAAACTTACTCGGTCCGTCTACGCCTCCACCCTCCCTTCAGGAAATCTACTCTCCATATGCATTCAGCCTCCCCGCAGGAAATCTGCTCCCCCCTCCCCCCTTCTATATACATGCACCCCTCCCTCTCCTCCTCCCCACGCGCCCTCCCCGGCCAGAAACTTACGAGTGAGCAAGCGTGCAGGCTCTCCCGATCCTGGAAACTTACTCCCAGATATAGCGCCCGCCAGCCCCCTTTCCCAGCCCTGCTCCCCTTCCTGCCCTCCGCGGCAAGCAACTCCAAACTCTCCGCATCCAGCCGCTCTCCCTCCCCGGTGGAAATTTGCAGCGCCGGGCTGCGCGCGTGCATCCACCCTCCCCTTCAGGAAACTTACTCCCCATCTGCATGCACCGCCTCTCAGCCATCGCTTAGAGGGAAGGGGGTGTGCTGGGGAGACAGAAATACATATGTATCTCTCGCCCCTCCCCCGGCCGCAGCCCACTCGGGGCCGAGCCGCGGTAACCTGGCCTTACCTTTTGCATTGCTCCCACCCTCGCCCCCTCCCTTAGCCCTCCTTATCCGCTCCCCGGTACCCCCCCCCTTTTTTTTTTTTTACCCATTACCCACCCCTAGCAACCGTTCCCAAGCTCCTCTCGGCCTTTTTTTTTTTAAATCCAGGATGCAAATTCCTCCCCTGTCAGCAAATCGACTGTCAAATTATTTTCTTGCAAAAGGAGAAAGGCGGGGTGGGGGGGGGGGAGCAGGAGAAAAAGGGGGGAGGGCGGGGGAAAGGAGGAGAGGGACAGAGGAGGGGAGAGATATCCCTCCGCAGAGCTGGGTCTGGCCGCGGGCGGGGAAGCAGGAAGTAAGGTGTCCAGCTCCGCGGCCGGCGGGTCCTCCGCCGAGGCCCCCGCCCGCGTCCCCTGTCCCCCGGGGCGCCGCGCTCCGGCGGGCGCGGGCAGCCCGGCGCATTGTTCGCAGCCGTCTCGGCCGTGCACCGCCGACTTTATTTGTGCGCTCTGCGTGTGCGTGAGGCTGCACCTTTTGTAGGCTGGCGAGTGTCGGGACGAGGATGGGACGGGGGACACGGGCCCAGCTGCGGCCCCGAGCGGGACCCGTCAGCCCCGGGGTGCAGAGGACTGCCCGGCGTGGCCGGAAAATCGAGGCCCGGGAGAAGGCAGCGTGGCCGGGAAGCTGCCGCCCTAGACCCGGACCCGCGCAGGATCGCTTCCTGCGTAGCCGCCCCGGTTATTGTAACGCGCTTTGCAATCTAACGACCGGGGTTGGGTTTCTGGTTTATTTGTTTAAGGGTCTGCGAAGATGCCACGGTCTAGGCGGGCTGCGAGGAGACGGGCCGCGCCTCCCCCCACCGCACCCTGGCCGCGGCGAGGCTGGGAGAGGGCTGGGGCTCGGGGAAGGGGCTGGAGGTTCGCGGAGCGCGCGGCTCCATCCCTCCGCCCGATGGGGGCG